AAAAAAAAAAAAAGAAGAAGAATCAACAACTTACGTTGCATCATATCATAAGATACGAAATCTAGGCCAGATGCTGTGGCTCTGTAATCCCAGCACTTTGGGAGGCCAAGGTGGGTGGGTCACTCTCAAGTGTTCGAGACCAGCTGTCCAACATGGCAAAACCCCATCTCTACTAAAAAAAAAATACAAAAAATTAGCCGGGCACGGTGGCGGGTGCCTGTAGTCCTAGCTACTCGGGAGGCTGAGGCAGGAGAATGGCGTGAACCCGGGAGGCAGAGCTTGCAGTGAGCCGAGATCACACCACTGCACTCTAGCCTGGGCAACAGAGCAAGACTCCTTTTCAAAAAAAAAAAAAAAGGAGAAGGAGAAGAAAGGAAATCTACAGCTAAAGCCAAATTTGTATTCTAAGTCATTTAAATTTTATTAGGGGAATTTGTACCTTAAAACAGTGATATTTAAACATTTTTAGCAATAGAAACCTCTTTTCAAATGAAATCTTATCCACCTTCTAGTATATAAAACCAGTACATGATAAGTATAAAGTGGTTCAATTTATATCATGTATTTATGAAATTTATATCATTTCTTACTGAAATCATGAAGCTATTTTGATTAAAAAATTAAAATTAGGGACTGTGGATGATAGTTGCAGTCTGATATCAACCTCCAAATTCATCTTACTTTCGTTGCCTAATCCTGAGAAAATCTTGATTGAAATGAGAAAATCTTAATTTTCGTGTTTGCAGGCACCAGGCATGGTAGCTCATGCCTGTAATCCCAGCACTTTGGGAGGCCAAGGCAGGCGGATCGCTTGAGCCCAAGAGTGAGACCAGCCTGGGCAACATGGCAAAACCCTATCTCTACAAAAAATACAAAACACTGGCTGGGCATTGTGGCACACGCCCATAGTCCCAGCTACGTGGGAGGCTGAGGTCAGAGGATCGCTTGAGCCCAGGAGGCAGAGGTTGCTGTGAGTCAAGATCACACCACTACATTCCAGCCTGGACAACAGAGTGAGACCCTGTTACAAAAAAAAAAAAAAAAAAGGAAAGAAAAGAAAACTGTTTGCAGCCAGTCACAGTGGTTCGCAGCTGTAATTCCAGGTACTCAGGAGTCTAAGGGAGGAGCATTACTTGAGCCTAAGAGTTCAAGACCAGTCTGGGTGTGATATAGGAAGACTGCATATCAAAAAATTAAGAAAGAAAGAAAAATAAAAATGCTTGCAAATATTATCAGCATTTGGTTTAAGTCCATCTTACAGTCTTAGAATACATTCCCATTACACTGATCAGGATTCTTAAAGAGAGATTGGAAATATTGGCTCAAAGTTGAAACAAAGAATATCTAACAACTGCTTGCATTTCTCATAAACATATCAGGCAAAAAGTACCCTGCTTTTAAAATAAACACTGAAACTCCAAGGTGTTATAATTACATTACTGTTAGTTTTGAAAATAGTGTATGTCAAGCTTATATGGCTGGGCTCAGTCTGAGCTAATGTGTAATGTTCCACAAGTGTGATGTAATAGTGTTCTTTTTTGTATAATTTTACTTGAGCAGACCTCTTCAAATCTAATTTTAGAAAGACCAACACAGAGCTGCAATATTCCCAATTAAAACTCTTTACCAGAAGTTGTAATGTAAGCAAAGAGCCTATTTTTTCCAGTTTTGTCTAATAATATACTGACAGTACAAGAAAACATGATGTGTGTGTGTTCATAACAAATTTTTAATGAGTGCAAATATATTCTTAAAATATATTTTGTATTTAAATTTAGGCCGGGCGCAGTGGCTCATGCCTGTAATCCCAGCACTTTGGGAGGCTGAGGCGGGTGGATCACCTGAGGTCAGGAGTTCGAGACCAGGCTGACCAACATGGAGAAACCCCGTCTCTACTAAAAATACAAAATTAGCTGGGTTTGGTGGCGCATGCTTATAATCCCAGCTA